GCGCGAGGGCGGCCTGGGCGCGGGGCTGGGCGCGCGCGGCATCGCCTGGAAGCTGAAGGCCGGTCCGCCCGCGCCATCCTGCGGAGACATGGGGCTGACGGCCACCGACACGCAGGCCTGCGCGCCCGCCTGCGTGCCCGCGTCCTCGCGCGGGGGTGGAGCGCTAGCCTCCCACGACGGTGCCTTAGTGAAGTTGTCGCGAGTCCGCGGCCCGGGCGAGGGCACAACTGCCTCCGGGCCGGGACTTCTCTGGGTCCCAGCGGCTGTCGCGTCTTTCTGGCGGAGGCTGGACTCCAGCCCTGGCTCCACACGGTCCCCGCTACTCCCTGCACGGGAGGGAGAATAGGATGAGGCGCAGGCATTGCCATCTGATCGCCTGGAGGAGGAGGAGGCCTCTGCCTGCTCCAGAGTCAGAGGCACCACCTTTTCCGAGGATGGGGGCTCTGCTTTTCTCAGAGACGCAGAGTCGGCCTTCCCTAGGGCCATAGGCTCCACCTTCCCAGAAGCAACAGGGTCTGCCTTTCCTGAGGACCTGGGATCCCCCTTCTCCAAGGCCAGGGGCTTCTCCTGCAGAGATGTAGCCTCTGCTTTTCCTGATGAAGTGCAGCTCTCCTGCTCAGGGGGCTTTGTTTCTGCGTTGCCTTGGGACTTGGGTTCTGCTCTTCCCATGGCCCTGGGGTCCACCTTTGTGGAGTTCACAGGATTCCCCTTCTCTAGAGGAAGGGGATCCACCTTTTCCACTGGGACGGCTTCTGCTTTTCCCGATGGTGCCAAGACTGTTTTTCCTAGAGTCATGGGGGCCACTTTTCCTGAAGACACAGAGTCTCCTTCTCCAGGGCACACCGTTTCTGCCTTCCCTCTGCCCCCAGGGTCCACCTTGCCCAAGGCCTGGGGAACAGCCTCCCCTGAGGCCACAAGACCCACCTTCTGTGAGGACAGCAAATCTGCTTTTCCCCCAGTCACCACCTCAGCTTTAACAGAGGATGAGAATCCACCTGTCTCGAAGAACTTGGAATCCCCTGGACCTGAGGGCACAGGGTCTATCTTTCCTGAAGACTCAGGGTTCACTTTTCCAGAAGATGATGTTTTTGTATTTCCCACAGAAATGGGATCTACCTTTCTGGAGGGTGCTGGGTCCTCCTTTCCAGAGGATATGGTTTCTGCCTTTCCTACAGAAGTCGGTTCAGCCTGCCCAGGAGACAAGGGCTCTGGCTTTCCCAAGGACACAAGATCCACCTTTCCCAAAGAAACTGGGCCCGCCTTGCCTGAAGACACAGGATCCACCTGTCCAGCAGAACCAGTTTTTGTCATTCTCACAGACATGGGATCTTCCTTTCCTGAGAAGGCAGGATCTGTCTTTTCTGGAAACTGAGGGTCTTCTTTCGTGCATGACACAGTTTCTGCATTTCCCATAGATACAGGCTCTGGCTTCTCCAAGAATGTAGAGTCCACCCTTCCTGTTGACCCCAGAGCCATGATTCCAGGGGATACAGGCTCGATTTTGCCTGATGACCCTGGAGTCGGCGTTCCCACGGACCCAGGATCTATCTTTCCTTCAGATGCAGAATCTGTGTTTTCCAAGGACGGGGGATCTGCCTTTCCTGAGGGCCCGAGATCTCTCTTTCCCAAGGACATGAGATCTGCCTTGTCTGCAGATGCAGGACCTATCTCCTGCGAGGAAACAGAAAGCTTTTGTCCTGAATACCTGAACTCCTGCCTTGGACACTCAGGATCCACTTTGGCCGACGATACAAGATCCTCTTTCCTCGGAGACATTGCATCTACCTTGCCAGAGCACGCAGGATCTTCCTTTCCCAAGAATCCAGGATCCTCCTTTCTTGAGGCACCAGGATCCATCCTTCCAAAAGCCACAGGATCCTCCTTTCCTAAGATCGCAGGCTCTGTCTTCCCTACTAACTTGGGATCTGCCTTTCTCAAGGACCCAGCATCTTCCTTTCCAATAGAAGTAGATTCTGCCTGCTTTAAAGACTTGGAGTCCATCTTCTCCAAGAACATAGGATTTCTGTTTTCCAAGGACTCGGTCTTCACTGAGGGCACAGGCTCTGGCTTCCCAGAGTTGGTGACTTCCGGTGTCCCTGAGATCGAGGCTCCATGTGCCCCCACTGTCTCCTTGGTGGCTGCCTCTTGGGGAGGGATGCAGGTCAGGGAAGGGCAGGCCAAGCTCCCACCAGGACCTTCAGAGCAGGAGGCCCCTTTCCCAACTTCACTAGGGCTGCTGTGTCTGGAGTCCATGCCTGGGCTTTGGGCAGGGGTGTGCCTGGGGGGTGCAGGGCTGGCCTTTAGCTGGGAGGGGCAGTAATCTCTCATGGCCAGGTTCCCAGCCCCCAGGCTCCCATCCTGGGGGCAAGAGAAGGCTGTTGGCCAGAATCTTGGGAGGCTGGAGTCCTTTTGAAGCAGCTGGAGCCAGGCTGGGTCTTCAGCACTGCCCAATTGCCCTCATGATCATGCTTCAGCCTAGGCTGCTGTCTGGTTCTGAAACACAGAGGGAGCAGACTCAGACTCAGGGGTGACCCAGCGGGGAGGAGCATCCATCGGGCCTCCTCTCTCACCCTTCTCCCAGCAGCCAGGCCTCTTCGCCAGGTCCTCTACCCTGGTTTGGTCTCCTTATGTCCACAGGGCCTGGGCTAAAAACACTAACCCATCCAAATCACTCCCCTGCTTCACTGCTCCCTGTGGCACTCTGGATAAAGGTCAGACTTCCCAACATGGCATTCAAGGCCCTTCACAGCTTCGACTTCATCTACTCCTCCCTCGTCAACCCACCACATGCAATGTGCAACCCAGAAAAGATGCTTTTGCCCTTTAGCTCACAGGTCACAAACTCTGATGCCATAGGGGCCAGGTAGGTGATTTAAGTGAGAGAAGCAGGCTAAGTATCAGACAATAGGGAGTGGTGAGGACTGTGGCAAACTGGAGAGCACATGCCCTATCTAGGGGGACCACCACTCCACCAGCAGAGTCCTACTCTGGAGAAATGCATCCTGGTCATACCAATAAGAAGTGAGAAATCTAGCACTTTAATGTAAAATGTCCTAATTAATTCAAGATTTTAAAAAAACAACAACACTGTGGTAGCCAAACAAAATATGTCTGTAGGCCACCAGTTTATATCCGCGTAGGCCCTGGGAAGCCGTGAATAGTTTATAGTTGAGGAAGGGATACAGATATGTGTGTTTTCAAAGATTGCTCTGGGATGGTGTGGAGGCTGGGCTGGAGGAGAGGGGCTGGTCAATCATTCATTCAATCTCGTCCAGTACTTCATTCATTCACCCAGCCCCTTCTCTGAAGTAGACCCTGAGCAGCTGCAATGGTCTAGATGAGAGATGGTACAGCCAAGGTCCTGGGGATGGGGAGTTGGCAGAATTGAGAGCTCTGAGGGAAAAGTGACAGGAACCAGCTGGCTGTAGAGGATGATGGTGGGGGTGGCCCACAGGATTCTGGCTGGGGGTGGGTGGGTTGCTGGGTGATGGTGCTGGGCAGGAGATGTGAGGAAAGGGAGAAATGCATTTAGGACAAGCCAAGTGTGTGGTACCTGGGGAACAGCCAGGGAGAGGGTCTGGCAGGCGGCTGGATTTGCAAGCAACTCCATTCCATTATACACACAGCAGCCAAAGAGCGCTGAGCTCTTGATCCTCCCCAAACCTGCCTTTCCTGCCCTCCTCTCCAAAGCTGCCTTGGTAGTGCTCAGGCCCAAATCCCTAGAGAGTCACCCATGACTTTCTCTCACAGCCCCCACATCCCATCCATCAGTGAAACATAATGGATCTACCTTCAAAGTATATCCAGAATCTGGCCACTACCCTGAGCTTAACCCACACCATCTCCCACCTGGGTCATCCCTGTTTTTTCTTTCACCCCAAACAGCTCCTTCTCAACACAGCGATCAGAGGGATCTTAGTAGGACCCAAGGCAGATCATGTCCCTACTGTGCTCAGAACCAGGCAGTGCCTCATGCAAAGTAAAAGTAATCTCCTTACAATGGCCCACTAGACCCTGCATTTTCAGGCCCTGTTACCTCTCCCTCTATCGTGCTACCTGGCCACACTGGGTGCCTGGCTGCTCCTTGAATGCACCCTGCCTTGGAGCTTTTGCTGTCTGTCTCCTCTGCCTGGAACACTTCCCCACCCTATATCTGTATGGTCTGCTATCTGACCCATCCTGAATAAAGCAGCCTCCTCCTTAACACTGGTTGGCGCTCTGCATCCCCCTTGCCCTGCTCGGATTTTCTTCACAGTTCCTGTCGCTGTCTGACATATTACATTGGTTTATTGCTTATGATTTGTCTCTCCTATTAGAATGTCAGCTTCAGAAGGGAGGATTTAGTTGTGTTTACTGATGTACCCTTAGGGTTGAGAACAATGACTGGCAAGTAATAAGCTAGTAGTTCCCAATAAAGATTTGTTAAGTGAAGGACTAAATGATCTTTCTAAGATGTTGGTCCAACCATGCCATTCCATGCAATTTACTTCCGCTGGCTCTTGCTGGGGAAGTAAATTGGCTGTCATCTTTTGGAAGGACATTTATCAATTCCTATCAAAGTTTTCGGTGCACACAGCATTTGGGCCAGCATGCCCACATCTAGGGACAGTCTTGAAGACAGACTGGTGGTGCACAGAAGGTGCATGAGGAGAGGCAAATGGGAGAGACAAATCACAGAGGGTGCATGAGGATGTGGCTGGTAATGAGAAGCAACCCGGGAAGTAGGTTCATGAAATGCAAGATGACCATTTGGGATCCCTCATACCTGTCACAATGTGTGGGGTGATGAGGAAAGATGCCCAAGATAAGTTTAAAAAAAGATGCCAGGGGACAGCATGGCCAGTGGAATCCCATGTGTATTGCCAAGGGAAAGGACAGACACATATCTATGGATTTGGTGAAGGTGAACTGAGTGCCTGTGGGACTTATGGGGGGACATCCAAGAGCAGGTGCGAGGCAGGTTTGAAGCACAGGAGAGATCTGGCTGGAACTGTTTGGAGCTGCTTTTTGGCAGCATAAAAATAAATTGGAAGGTCACGGGCCGATAGAGTCAGCCAGGCATCAGATTTGAGTGGTATGGACTGCGTTCATCTTCATTTTTTGCCTCTTAATAGTGATATGGCACAGATAAGTATTTTTCTCTCAAAAGAAAAACAGCAGACTAAGTGAGGTGATTAAAGACTCCTGATATCCTCCAGGTGAGGGAGCCAAGAGGGAGCGGTGGGGACTGTGGCAAACTGGAGAGCACGGGCCCCTTCTGAAGGGGCAGCTGCACTCAGTTCTACTAGCTAGTTAAGAATTCATTTATTAAGTCAACATTTATTGAACACATAAGCAATGTTGTAAATGCTGTCCTTGGTACTGGGGATACGGCAGTGAAAAAGAAATGCATAGTCTCCACCGCCTTCCAGGTATGGAAAGATTGGGGAGAGGGCAATTAACAAGTAAGCAGATAAATAATGTAATTTCAAATAATAATAGATGCTGTGAAGACAAAGGAGTGGGCGGCTGTTTAACATATGGTCGAGGAAGGCCCCTCTGAGGAGGTAACAGCTGAGGCAGCCATAAAAAAGCCTGAGTAGCCAGAGTGGAGTTGGAAGGCGGAGAGGGAGAAGGCAGGTAGGAGCCCATTGTGCAGGCCACAAGGGCAGAGTGTGGGCTTATCCTGAGGGTGCTGGGAACCTCCTGGAGTATTTTAAGCAGGCAAGTCAAGGTGGCTCCTGCATAGGCAGTCCTAATTTTTTGAGCAAAATCGTCAGTCTGGATTTGTCTATATTTTACATGTTGGCTAATTAAAAAAATAACACAGGCCAAAGAACTCACTTTTGTGAGCCAGCTCTGGTCCTTGGGGTTGTGAGGAAGGATGTTATAAGCCAGATCGACTGGGCAGATGGACAAGAGAGAGGGCCCAGGATTGGTGAAGGCTGGGGTCTGCCTGCCACCCCTGCCTCTCAGAACTTTGGTTTCCTCTTCTGGAAAATAGGAATTCAACAGCTGCCTGGCAGGTGAACAGGGAGCTTGGGATGGAGCTGGGAGGAATCATCGCAGGCTGTAGGAGGGGTGTTCTGAGTCCTCATTACCCGCCTTTCACCCCTGGTAGCCCAGCCTTGGGGTCCCCTCACACCAGCCCCTCCAATAAGCTCTCTCCCCCTGGGTACAGCCAGAGCAGCAAGTCAGAACAACTCCCCACTTACCTGCTCTGTGACCTCAGGTAAATCTCTTCTCTTCGCTGGGGACACTAAAAACCCACCCTCTAGGGCTGTTGTGAGAATTAATGAAGATGAGGGGTGTGCAGCTTTGCACTTTAGGGCCGGGCTGTGTATGTGGAAGGCCTGTTTTTATCTACTCAACCTGTCAGAGCCCAGCTGTGTTCCCAGGAGGGGGCAGGAGAGGGAGGGCCTGCAGCAGAGGCACAAACTGGCAAACCCGGCCCTCAAGACATGCTTGTTTGACCCAGAGTGCTAAAATTTTTTTTAAGGAATTAACTTCTAAAATTTAGAAGATTTCATATGAAAATCAGATCCCCAGCTCATCTTGGAAAACTAAAATTTGGCAATCCGAGCGTGCTTCCCGCATGGCAATAGTCAGCTGGAGCCATGCAGTGTCTGTCTCTTTGGATGTGGGTGTACTCTCTAATTAGCCGCAATCTCCACCCTTCTCTATGGTGTCCTGGACACTGAGGCTGTCGGTTATCATTTGTCACTAAAATTGTACCACCATTTTTCTTATAGCCAGCCCCAGGTATATGTTATCCACCTGGCCCGTAGCCACCTGAGTTTTGACCTTTGACCTAGATGCCAAGAAAGTGGGAATTGACTTTACATGCATCAAGTCTTTATTGTGTCCACTATGTGCAGAACCCATACACTTTCCAGGTAGGTGTTCTGTTCTTATTTTCCAGAGGAGGAAAATGAAGTTCTGAGAGGCAGGCATGGTCCAGCTGGTAACATTCCCCTTCTGCAAGGTCCCCAGGAAGAGGCCAGCTTCTCAGTTCCCAGCTGAGGTTCTCTGATGTGGGATCAGGCCTGGGGTAGGGACGAAGAGACTGGCCAGGGATTAGGAAGATGTGGAGTCAAGCCTGAGCTTGTCATTGACCTGCTCCATGACTTTGGGTGAGTCTTTCAACACGCTGGGCCTCAGTTTCCCAATCTGTGAAATGGGAGAGATGCAGTTGTATCTAGAAGAACTGGCCCAGCCCTGGGTTTAAGACCGGCCAAGATACCATGCCCAGAGGCTCTGCTGCTCACAGTTCTGCCAGGCCCTTCCTGGCTCTTGAGGAAGCCTCAGTATCCTCTGGTCACTTCTCCAAGAGGCAACCTAGGCCCGGTGTGCCACTCCCACCCTCCCTCTAGAACCCAGCTCCATCACTCTCCCACTATGTGCTCAGCCCTGGGCACAGCACTCTCAGGCTTGCTTTAGCATCTGGACTCCACGACAATCTCACAAGGGGAGTATTATCATCCCATTTCACAGATGAGGACACAGGTCAGAGGAAGAAAAGACTTAACATCAAGGCTACACAGCTGGGGCAGTGGGCTGTGGTTCAAAGCCTGTTGTATCTAAACCCAAAGCCTGGGTTCTCCCTACTCATAACAGCTAAAATCTTGGACACTGATGCTTGGCTCTTAACCTCTTTCTGCTCTTTGGGGTCAGGCCAAGGGTCCTCCTGATCCTCTGGACCTAACAGATAACAGCACCAGGAGTATCCAGGAGAGGAAGCAAGTGTTCGCCATGCACATGCCCACCTGCAGGAACACACACCCTATGAACAGAGGAGCCGGCACACTTCTGCAGCCCGACTGAGGTCAAGATTTAAATGACCCCCTATGTGGGCTGGCTCACCTGGTGTGCAGA